CAGACGCGACGTCAACGTCAAAATCCATCCACCACTCTCAATTAACTTGGGGTTGCTCTCACTGCTGAGTAGAACAACATGAGTCAATCTGAAATTGGAAGACTCATCAGAAGCAAGCCTGGAAGAATTCGTGCATGTGTGCACAGATGTGTTTCCGATATTAGTGACTTTGGCTGCAAAATTAAAATTTACTGTATATAAAAGCCTATTTCTGGTGTTTCCCGCCGTGATATTGTTGGAATATTGCTAAAATCGCCGTAAAACCATACTCACTCACTCTTACGAAAAGCCTTTTACGGCAAGCATGAGTTGCTGAAGTCTTATTCTACCCCGGATCATCACGGGTGTAGCAGGAATATTAAATAGTCGATCCCAAATACTGTTCAAAGCGTTGTTAAATTCATTTCACTCACTCACTTATTAACATAATTGCTCATGATATTATCAGAACCATGAAAAAGTGTGTTTAACGCCGCTTTTAACAGTATTCCAGTTATATTAAGGCGTGTCAGGTTACTGTGGGAGGAAAGCCCGAAGTGATGCAGGTCTCAGACGTTTACCACATTGGTGAAACCCACGAGCACGGGTATGGTGCTGACAAACCTAGAAACATAATCGGGGCGAACCGGGAATCGAATCCCTCTTCAACACTTAATACCAATGGCCTCCCGAATGAAAGAGAGCTGCAAAGCTCTATAGCTCACCTGAATTATTAAGACATAAGGGCGGCCATGTTAAGGTCGGATTGAGATTCTTGGAGACAATTTTAGAAACACCATAACTGGGATTATTCATACAAAGTTTCAGCTCTGTGGACCTTGTAGTTTCAGAGGAGATGTCGAAAATATAGACGGTAACGACGGACGACAGGAAGACGGACAACGCGTCACGACATAAGCTAACCTTTCAGCCAGGTGAGCTACAAATGAAATGAACAAATGCAAATACAGGTGATTTGATATGTAATAGTATTATCGCAATCGCAAACGTATTTCAGTGTCAGAAATACTTTAATACATAATAAATACACTACCAACATTAAAACAAATATTACAAATTTCCAACAGGGTCGCTATTTGCCTCACCGGGGCAGCTGGGTAATATTGCACGAAATTGTCGTGCTTGGCAAGAATATCACGCACCTGGCGGGAGCGCGTCCGACAGGGGGAAATCAACATTTGTCGTTTCGATCATGAGAGCACGACGAGACTACACGCATGGAAACTTAAAAGGATTCACACTCCAGACGTCACTGATGTAAGTAAAACAATATGTATTATGAAGCGCATATTTTATGAACATAATGACCCTATATATAAATGAGAAACGTAAAGCTTGTCTCACGACAGAGGTATTCGTTGCCTCAAAGCCAAAGTGAAAACTTTGTATGAATGACAGATCCTAAAACGACTATACTTACATCAGGACCCACTTGCACAAAGTGATCTTAGCGTTAAGATGATCGTAATTCCCATACTTTAACATAGGCTTACGATAGTCTTAGCGCTAAGATCGCTTTGTGCAAGTGGGTCCAGGACTAATTGTCTGTCCGTTTATGAACAGTGAGATTTATGTTTTATGCAGTACGTTGTACTAGGCCAATTAGTTTCCAAAGATTCCAGTTTCTACTAGGAGCCGATGATTTGAGCCCGAGAAGATCCGGGGAAGAATACGTCTTCAGCAACCCATGCTTGCCGTAAAAGGCGACTATGCTTGTCGTAAGAGGCGACTATGCTTGTCGTAAGAGGCGACTAACGGGATCGGGTGGTCAGGCTCGCTGACTTGGTTGATGCATGTCATCAATCCCAATTGCGTGGATCGATGTTCATGATGTCAATCACTGGATTGTCTGGTCCAGACTCGATTATTTACAGACCGCCGTCATATAGCTGGAATATTGCTGAGTGCGGTGTTAAACAACAAACAAAACACACACAAAAATGAAAATGTATTTTAGACCATTACCCTAAACACCTGTCTGACGATTGTGGTGGTTCTTACTTTAACACGCACATCCTCCCGAGGCAAGAAAGTGAACAGACTGTAAAAGTCCAGATTCTACCCGTGCCGAACTAGCTAATAACGATACATGTATATCAGTCATAATAGGTTATTAGACAGTGTATTTTATTGTTTAACAGTGATTGTAGCTGTGTTGCATTGCTTATGTTGGGATTCGGTAGACGCTCATTGCATTGTTTGGATAGTGATCAGTCATCAGACAGTTACTATATTTAGATGCTCGTGTGGTGTGTAAACTTCTGGTCCGTCATACCTTTGACGGTGACAGTATGTTATGGGAAGTCCTTTAATGTTCTGGTACCGATAGACTGGTGAGGAAACTATAGTCATTTCCATTAGCTTATTAGTCTGTCTATATAGTGGGACAAGAGCGTGTTCAGGGATCTCTCTTGTATTTCATAGCTTTGTAACGGGCTGTCATGTGAGGATCGCCCTTAATATTTATTGCCATTGAATATTGTACTACCACTCTATCGTTTACTGCCATTGTAATTGCTGTGCAGTCAGTCAGTTATGCCCATCGCTCCTCCCGAAGCATAGGCCGCCGACAACAGTCCGCCAGAGTGCTCGGTCCTGGGCTGCCCTCTCTAGTTGTTTCCAGGTGTGTCCCATCTTCTTGCTGTCTGCCTCGAGGTCCCGTCGCCAGGTGTTTCTTGGTCGTCCTCTTTTTCATTTTCCATGGGGGTTCCATGACAGCGCCTGTCTGGTGATGTTACTGACTGGCTTCCTCAGGGTGTGCCCAATCCATCCCCATCTTCTGCGCCGGATCTCATCTTTGGTGGGCAGTTGGTTGGTACGCTGCCACAGGTCTGAGTTGCTGACGGTGTTGGGCCAGTGGATCTGGAGGATTCTCTTTAGGCAGCTGTTGATGAAAGTCTGCACTTTCCTGGTGGTGGTCTTTGTTGTCTTCCATGTCTCGGCTCCATACAGTAGCAAATTGCTGTGCAGTAATTTGTAATTATTTGTCAGCTTAATGAATTTTGTAATACATTTGTTGATTGCACACCACTTGTTGGTTGTTTGTTGCTTTCACGCTAAGTTCTCTACGTTTCTGGGTTAACATATTGTTTCAATTTGGGAATCGACACGTAACAGTCTACAGCAAAAACCTAGTTACTACTTCACATGGGTTTCCGATAAACTACGAAAAGAAAACTAAACAACAGACTTTGACATTAAATGACGCGTGAACTGACTAAATGATTCGTGTAACAAATGTTATATTTAGGATAACATTTTCTTAGTAAAATACAGATTCTCGTACTTTTGGGGGTTGAGTACCATCCGGTATTCGAACCCACACTGCCAGAGTGAGGCTCCTAATCGCGAGCACACAGTCAGCAATCTAACCCACTCAGCCACCGAGGCTTCCAAGTGGTATCTAAATCAAGTACTTTGTGTACCCCTCTGACAAGCTTAAATGGACATGGCTCCCATGGCCGAAAGCTATGAACACACAATGTCATTTAGAAAGTGGTCAAATGTAACAAATGTTATATTTTGGATAACACTTTCTCAGTTAAGTACAGATTCTCAGAAGGTCAACAAACAAATACGAGAATCTGTACTTTACTAAGAAAGGGTTATCCCAAATATAACATTTGTTACAATTGACCACTTTCTAAATGGCATTAAATGATTCGTATAAATAAATATGTATTTTCAACAAGACAGTGTGGCCAGCATTACGCAAATATTACCACCCCAATTTAAACGTCACTGGTATTTGGCTAGGGGAAGCAGCTATTTCCAACACGGTTCTGTACACTGCACGTAAGTGTGATATGGTAGCTTTTTGTTCAAAGAAACTGACAGATAGAAAGAAAAATTAATCTTTCTTGACCAGGGCTTTGTTTGCTCATAATAGGCCCATCAACATGGACAAGTAATATTATTTATATGACTGATAAGTGTGCTCGAGTTGGTCCCAATAAATTGTGTACTTGCCCCGGGACATGCATTTCATAACCCGAGTCACTAAAGAGCGAGGTGCACGTGCAAAAGGCCCGTGGAACAAATTGCACGTGCATCACGCAGGTGCGAATCTTGCAGTGTTCTAGCTGTCAAGCATATAGTTCTTCCATGTCTTTTATTTGTTTGTTTGCTGTTGCATTGTCGCCTCTTACGGTAAGCATGGGTTGCTGAAGACCTAGTCTAACCCGGGTCTTCACGGGGCTGAGTATCCAGATCCAGTTATTAAATCGTTGTTTCAACATCTTAGGAGCTTGGGTTCTTTGAATGAATGTGGGCCGTTGTTTAAATAGGTTCAACGATTAGACCTCAGGTCCTCGTGCTCTAACTATACTTATATTAGTTATAATGGGTTGATAGGTGGTTAGTCCCAACTTTGGGCATTATTTCTTTCTCAAAGTTTGATAGTGATATTCGGAGTGTCCCATCTTCCCGAAGCAAGGGAGTTAAATAGAATTCCAGTTTTCCACCCTTGCCGAACTTGAAAAAAAGCGGTTGTTATTCCCAGGGATATTCCTATCTGAATGTAGACGAAGTGCTCTGTACTATGTACTATGTACAGAACAGATACCGACCCGTGAAGATTCCGGGGTAGAATAGGTCTTCAGCAACCCATACTTGCCGTAAAAGGCGACTAACGGGATCGGGTGGTCAGGCTCGCTGACATGGTTGATGCATGTCATCGATCCCAATTGCGTGGATCTATGTTCATGACATTAATCACTGGATTGTCTGGTCCAGACTCGATTATTTACAGACCGCCGTCATGTAGCTTGAATATTGCTGAGTGCGGCGTTAAACAACAAACCAACCAACAGAACAGATACCCATGTTTCATGTTGAAAGCAAACCTGTTGATATATACATTTGGCTGAGAATGTTGTACGATCCCAGATCTTGATGGAGATGGTGAACACAATGGAATTCAGTTTCAAGCTTTACGTATTGGATCACCTGTTGTCTGCAATGACTGCTACTAAAAAGTTAATGAACAAAGCATGACAAAGTTGATTGCTATGATTTATTGAAATCATTTACGTATGAGGAAAACTATTCAGTATCATCCTCAAGGTCGTTTTCAAAGGGCGACATCAAAGCCTCTTCAATGGAAGGATCTACAAAAGAAAAACATCAAATCTTACGATCTTCCCATATTTGACATGCACTAAAGCTAACTTCCATTTGTCCATTGCTAATCACCAATCAGCTATAATTTACCCTTGCCTCACCATTTGCCCATTGCTAATCACCAATCAGCTATAATTTACCCTTGCCTCATCATTTGCCCATTGCTAATCACCAATTTGCGTAATTGGTTTCCCTAGTATCCAACTATGTTTTCTTATTACTTTTGCTTTACAGTACACTCAGCAATATTCCAGCTATATGACTGTGGTCTGTAAATAATCGAGTCGAGGCCAGACAATCCAGTGATTAATATCATGAGCATCGATCTTCACAATTGGGATCGATGACATGCATCAACCAAGTCAGCGAGCCTGACCATCCGATCCCGTTTGTCGCCTTTTACGGCAAGAGTGTGTTGCTGATAAGTTGACCTATTCTACCCCGGATCTTCACGGGTCTTCACCTGACCAACCAGCAATAATTAACCCTTGCCTCACCATTTGCCCATTGCAAATCACCAATTTGCGTAATTAAGTTTTGGTTTCCATAGTATCAAACTTTGTTTTCTTATTACTTTTGTTGTTTTTGCATGTACATATACATATGCTCCCTGCGTCCTAGAAACATTCACCTGATGGAGCATGTATAAGCTCCGAAACGTTGTGTTACTCATAACAAAGTAGACATCCACAAATTCTCTTGTGAACTCGTTGCTTGAACATATAATTTAGGATAAAGTTATGTTGAAGTCGTGACGGTTTCTACCTCATAAAACAGAATCACAGCTGTAAGATTTTCTATACCTTACCTTTAACTCACTGCCCAAGATAGTCGATGCTCCTTGAGAACTCTTCTAAACTCACGCTTGAGTCTCCTACACATAGAAAAGTTGTGACAGTCAGTCAGAATGTATATGTTCAGGATTCAGCAGAACCATATGGGGACAACGGGTCCATATTGTCCCATATTGAGAAAAGCGAAAATTATTTTAGGAATAAACATTTAATTTGAATAAATGTAATCGTATACAAAAGCTCTAACCATTTTCATCAGCGAACGAAAGGAGGTCCATGGCCGATCGTCTGTCCATTAGCGTCTCAGATTCTGATTGATCAATTGTCCCATCCTTGTTTGTATCAAGGCTATCCACATTACGTTTGCCTTGAAAGAAAATAGTAATGTTTGGAAAGATACAAAATGAAAGAACATGAATGCATTTTCGGTTATGGAAGATGAGCAATATGTCATTTTAATCAGGCGATGAATATGAATATTGAAATCAAATGGACACAAAGCTATTCTATTACTTCTTTCCATTTTATCCCCTCACCGTATGTAGCTCTTCGGGGGACTGCCTAAGATATACTTAAAAACAAGCAGCCAATAACATTCTGACTCATTCTGTAGTGCTTTATAACATGGTCACATTTTCATTCTTTGTTTACTGGAATAGACTGTTCCATTTTCATTGAAAAACAATGTTCGATTGTCTGTTTTCTCTCAACATTCTTCCAGCTATATAACGGTAGTCCTTAAATAATCGAGTGTGGACCAAACAATGCAGTGACTTACATCATGAACATCGATCCATGCCGTGACATGCAATCAAAAATCAAATACTTCCAATAAGGGAGTGAGGTCAATGTTTTATCCTACGCGCCTTTCTAAAACCACAAAGACTGAAAAACGTAACAAACATGATGAGCATCGATCCACGCATATGGGATGCCGTGACAGGCGATCAAGTTTCAACTACTTCCATGAAGGGAGTGAGGTCATATTTTAAAATTCTAAATTCCACGAAGACTGAAAAACGTAATGCATAGTTTTGGAAAATGGAATGGGTTTGTGTGTTGGTCACTTTAAAAGTCACTCATAGGCATCGCTTACCCAGGAGTATTGGTGCGACTTTCAGTGCTACACTGGCAACTCTTCTCCATCTAATTCTCCGCCGCCAGGCATCTGACTGGATCACGGCCGTGGCCACAAGCAGGAGGACAAGGCACAAGCGCATTTTGAGCTGTTTTCTATTGTGAATATAATACAAATTGTCAATGCAAGGGAGTAACCTTCCTAGATTTTCTGCCGAGAGAGATTCCACTTGGTGTCAAGGGCAAATAGCTGTGGAAATTGATGACACAAGGTGTTCCCGAAATGGTTATTAAATTGTTGAAATCGTTGAAATCTTGTGGAAACTTTCAATCACAATCTTATGAAATTGTTTAAACTGAAACTCTCTCTCACAATCCACCCGAAATGTACTCAGGAAATGTTAACATATTGTTGGCAGGAAAACAATACTGAGCCCCCAAAAGGTGTCATTACCTGATATATGTACTTCATAGATCTTGAACAATAATTATCGTTACAAAACATCAAAGCTGCCTGTACAATATATTGTCTACCAAAGGGCGACCGCCCGGAGAGCGGAAGGTCCGGGGTTCGATCCCCGGCCGCGTCATACCAAAAGACGTTTAAAGATGGTACTTGTTACCCTGTCTGGCGCTCGGCATTAAGGGGCCAAACCAAGGACTGGTCGGCTCGGAGTCAGTATACCGTGTCTGAGTGGGGTATTCAAGTTAAACTGCGGCATGGTATCTCAGTGAGCTAGCACTATAAATCGGCATCAGTCCGGACTAGTACAAGCAGCCACACACACGTACATGCACGTCTCTATATAAGTGCAATAATCTTGGACGCGACGTTAAACCCCATTTCACCTCACCTCATCAAAGGGCACCTGACATTATGTGCAAAACTCCAACTATTAAAGTAGTAAGGATAAATAATGTATGAAGCAATACTTACCAGAGGTAGACAAGTCAAACCACAGTAGTAATGATGGAGCACTCCTGGTATTTATACATTCATACCCCTGTAGATCCCGTGAACTTATTCTGTTTGGGCAAAGTGTCAGGTCCTTGACTGAGAAGCCTACAAATGTAAATATGATAATAATATATGTTTGTTCGCACTTCCTAAGTGTACTTTTACGCGAGTGTTGTTTGAAGTGTGCTTACATCTGTTGCAAGAGCACTATTGGATGGGACTTGTCTGTTTGTCAGGTGGCATTAAAGGATAACTGCATAGAGGTTTGTGATCCATTTATCAACCAGGATATACCACATTCATCCTTAATGGTACTAGTGTTTAGGGCTGTGACAAGCAGCTGATGATTAACATTTTAACATTTTCAGACTTATTGGAAGAGGGCAATTAATCGCTGAGAATACATCGTGTTAACATATGTGGGTTCCGTGTGGTGCAGGAGTAGATAGCACCTCGTGTGCACAAATAGCAGCGCCATCTGCTAGGCGAAAACTGTGTTTAATCCTTGGTTTGTAGAAACAGGTATATGTAAGTACGATTACAAATTGGACACTGCTTTGCAGAAGTTGTATTTAATCATAGTTTGATTTTTGCCCGTGTCTATATACTTTTTAACCTTTGGATTTAAGAAAATAATATTTTAGAATAAAAAACGTATTACAGTCAATTCGACACTATTCCCTGTCAGTCAGAACTCTTATGTATCAAGGAAATGTTTGTGCTGTAAAAGATGTATTACCAGCGGGTATGTAGGAAGCCATCATTCGGCTGAACGTGTGTATAGAACTACATTGCACGAGGATTAAGCATTAGTTGGAGAAAGAAAATACATTTATTCATGCAAGTATCAACTATCATTTGTCAGTACACCGTCTGTAAAAAGTAAAATACGTTCGGTTGTGTAGACAGGCATATTGTGTGTACAAGTATATAGTGGAATTCATCTCCAATTTCCTTTAGAGTTAACGTCTTCTTTCATACACTGTTTTTCCCCATCTGGGGAGCCGATGATTTGAGCTCCGGGATAGAATAGGTCTTCAGCAACCCATGCTTGCCGTAAAAGGCGACTAACGGGATCGGGTGGTCAGGCTCGCTGACTTGGTTGATGCATGTACTTCCTTATTTTGTAAGATGAGGTGTTTCAGTTTGTCATTGTATTGGTCCGGATTTGTAAATATTGGTCTTTAAGTCTTTTGGACATAAAGGATCTTATTATTTATATCGAATCCACTTGGTAACAAGCATCACCAAATCCCAGGTCTTCTATTAATAGGAGATTAATAGCCCATTTATGTTTAGATATCAGAATTCACACCATTTAGTAATAATTTATAAACAATATGTGACAACTTCGCAGATTTTTGTCTCCACTAATTTTGACCAATAACAAAGAACACTTCAATTAAGTTCCTGTTTCCCCATATAATATAGTAAGTGATGTGGATTTTTGTAACTTTCAGTAACATTTTGATAAGGCGGGATTGCAGATTTTCGAGTATGGCACAGTTACCAACGCTCCATATTTCAGAACCGTAAAGCAATATTGGTTTAACCATACATTCAAATCTAATTTGACACTGAAATGATAAATTAAGTAAACGACGTTTTTTCGGTAGAAAAAAACCATGGCTTTTGTAAGTGTAATCAACGAGGTTGCATTACATGTGACGATTTGTTATTTGTAGAGAGTATTCTTGCTAAATACTTAATTCGTTACTATTTTCAATAACTGGATCATGAATAGTGAAGACAAATCTTAACTTGTTTTAGAACCACGAATAACTATTTACAGGTCATGTATTTACAGAACACCTGAAAGTTATCCAACGTGTTGTGCAGTTCTTAAGTGGTTTCCAAGAAAGTATCATCTACATACAACAGAACAATGATTACATTTAAAAGCATACATATATCATTTGAGTGGCAAGTAATTGAAATACCATGGCAATTATAATCTGTGGCACTGCTCTAAATCATTTACAAAAAGTGACAATAGTACTAGCGACAGGTATTCGCCTTGCCCCACTCCAGTTGAGCCAAGGGAAGATTACCTTTACTACGGACACACATTTGATATTTGTATACATATTTTAAGCATCATTGAAACACTTTCCAGGAATGTTATCGGACATTTTTTTGTCAAAGCTGACTCGTCAAACGCTTTGCGAAAATCAATAAAAGCACAGAATAGTTTTTTTCTGTCTTACCCTAAGCAACTGTTATATTTGGGATAACACTTTCTTAGTAAAGTACAGATTCTCGTACTTTTTTGGGTCGAGTCCCGTCCGGGGTTCGAATCTGTACTTTACTAAGAAAGTGTTATGATAATCCCAAATATAACATTTGTTACATTTGACCACTTTCTAAAAATGGCATTGTGTTTTCATAGATTTCGGCCATGAGAACCGTGCCGATTCACACTTGTCAGAGGTGTGCTCGAAGTACGTGATCTAGACTACTAGTTGTCGGACTTTCATTTTTGTGGAAGCCTCGATGGCTGAGTGGGTTAGATAGCTGTCTATTGGGTTGTGCTGGCGATTGGGTTACCTCACTCTGGCAAGTGTGGGTTCGAATCCCGGACGGGACTCAACCCAAAAAAGTACGAGAATCTGTACTTACTCAGAAAGTGTTATCCCAAATATAACATTTGGTACATTTGACGACTTTCTAAAAGTGGCATTGTGTATTCATTGCCCTAAGCAATTCAGTAGGGTCGTATAATGTGAATACATTGTCTGCGGCTGAGTAATTCTTCTGAATCCTGTGTTTCACTAAGAAGCTGAATTGTTTCGATGAAATTAGTGTGTCTATTTTTTATAGAAAAGAATAATTTTCCCAAACAGCTAAGTAAAGTAATTGGGCGATAGTCTTCTGGTTGGGATGGGTCACCTTTTATGTATACTCACACGCAAAAGCCACGCAAGTCGAGTATGCAGTATACATGTTATTTATTTCACAGTAAAGACAAGAAATACTAATAGGACAAGATTGACAAAAATTTGACTGAAGACAGTTTATTGGATTCAAAGGCAGATGACATAATTGTTTTTTTTCAAATGTTAAGGGCTTACAGTTTCGGGTCAATACCCAAAATGCCAGTCAATACCTGGTGTGACCACCATTAGCATTGATCACCGCTACACATCTCCTGTACATTGAATGGATCAGACGATTTGTGAAGGCCCTAGGGATCCTCCTGCACACATCCAGAGCAGCTGTGCGTAGTTCATCGGCAGTTGTAGGGACTGGGCGCACATTGTGCAGACGCCTTTGAACCTCATCCCACAAGTGTTCGATGGGGTTCTGATCAGGGCTGAGGGCTGGCCACGTTAGAACACGGATGTTGTGTTGTTGCAAAAAGGCCATGGTAGCTCTGGCAACATGGGGACGAGCGTTGTCCTGCTGGGAAATGTGTTGTTGATGTTGTGCAAAAAATGGAACAACGTGGGGTCTGATCACTTGGTCGATATACCGCTGAGCAGTGACGCCCTGTCCCCGACCTTGACCAACATTCAGAAAGCACATGGGTCCAAGTCTCGCATTAAGTCCAATCCCTGCCCATATCATGACGCTACGTCCATCCCATGGATCCCTTTCCATATCGTTTCTGTCAGCGAAACATCACCTCGACGCCGCCAAATTCTGACTCTTCCGTCTGCATGGGAGACACAAAAGCGACTTTCATCAGAGAAGATTACACGCCTCCACTCACGATGACGCCAAATGCGATGACCCTGTGCCCACTGAAGTCGTGCTTGTCGATGCCGTGGTTTGAGAACAGGACGACGTGCTGGTCGGCGACATCTGAGGTTGTTGGAACGGAGACGTCGGATCACAGTGTCCCGGCTAATGTGTCGATTGTGTGTTCCTATGGTCTGTCGAGCACGTTCACTTGCAGTTAGGAACGGATGTCGCTGGTGTTGACGGGTAATCTGCCGATCTTGTCGAGGTGTGGTGACCCTCATCTTCCCGAGGCAAGAGAGTCAACTGACTTTAAAAGTCCAGTTTCCACCGCGGAAGACAGTAGTCCTCGGAAAAAAATCATCGTCCGCGTACAAATATAATAAGATTAAAAAAAACACTCGAAAACCGGACAACCGTCGCGGATTTTTGCCTCAGCAATGAAAATAGAGCTATTGCAGATGACTTATTACTTTGTCACCATCGTTGGGGCCCATTAGTAAAGATGGTCATATTTCAGTGTCATATTTATTTCTTAATTGTACATATTCCTGTTGATATAAGACCCGTGAAGATTCGGGGTAGAATAGGTCTTCAGCAACCCATGCTTGCCGTAAAAGGCGACTTTGCTTGTCGTAAGAGGCGACTAACGGGATCGGGTGGTCAGGCTCGCATGTCATCGATCCCAATTGCATGGATCGATGCTCATGATATTAATCACTTTATTGTCTGGTCCAGATTATTTACAGGCCGCCGTCATATAGCTAGAATATTGCATTGTGCGGCGCAAAACAAGAAACCAACCAACCAAACTGTTGATATATACCAGCTGATTTGTTTCAGATTTGATTAAACATGTCAGGGAAATGTCTACTTCTGGCCTCACCAACTGCCAGGGAGGAGTAGACAAAGCCTGTAAGGAGAGATGATAACCAGATCTAGATTTGCAGCAGTAATGTTGGATTTGCGCCGAATTCCAAATGGAAGAACCAGCTTTGGTTTCTTTCGAAATACTTCTTTCTTAGAGGGGATTTAAAATGGAGTCATAAGCAGGATTGGAGGGATTGGAACGTCATTTAGTAATATATTGAAGAGGCAGTTTGTACGGCATTATTTTAAGGAAGATTCATTAGCCTCCCCATAGAGGCTGTCTACAGATGTTCGAAAAGCACCAAGACATGGTCTTAGTCCTTGATGGTGGATTGAGACATGGTCCTAGTCCTTGATGGTGGATTGAGACATGGTCCTAGTCCTTGATGGTGGATTGAGACATGGCCCTAGTCCTTGATGGTGGATTGAGACATGGTCCTAGTCCTTGATGGAGGATTGAGACATGGCCCTAGTCCTTGATGGTGGATTGAGACAGGGTCCTAGTCCTTGATGGTGGATTGAGACATGGTCCTAGTCCTTGATGGTGGATTGAGACATGGTCCTAGTCCTTGATGGTGGATTGAGACATGGTCCTAGTCCTTGATGGAGGATTGAGACATGGTCCTAGTCCTTGATGGCGGGACCCGTGAAGATTCCGGGGTAGAATAGGTCTTCAGCAACCCATGCTTGTCGTAAAAGGCGACTAACGCGATCGGGTGGTCAGGCTCGCTGACTTGGTTGATGCGTGTCAGCGATCCCGATTGCGTGGATCGATGCTCATGATATTAATCACTGGATTGTCTGGTCCAGACTCGATTATTTACAGACCGCCATCATATAGCTGGAATATTGCTGAGTGCGGCGTTAAACAACAAACCAACCAACCAACAACCTTGATGACGGATTGAGACATGGCCCTAGTCCTTGATGGAGGATTGAGACATGGTCCTAGTCCTTGATGGCGGATTGAGACATGGTCCTGGTCCTCTATGGTGGATTGAGACATGGCCCTAGTCCTTGATGGCGGATTGAGTCTATTTTTTTTACATTACTCCTGCAAGCTCCAGCATACACTATGGAGCCATAGTCCAATTTATAGTGCATTATTGATCTATATAAGTGAAGAAGGGTTGTCTGATCAACCTCCCCACTTTGAATTTGAGACAACTTCGGGTATTTTGTCTTCAGATATTTAATACGTACCAAAAAAGTCAAATGGTCGAATATTTATCCCAAAAATTTGGCTTTAAGTACATTCTTAATTGGAGTGCCATCTAAAAAGCGTTCGGGTCTTTTAAGGGGGGTTATATTTTTGACAGAAATGTATACAATTGGTCTTGGTCTGTGAAAATTTAAAGACATTCTCAAGTTACCAGTTTTGAATTTTGAGACAATTGTTCAATAGTATGCATATTTTTACCTAGACGTGAAATATTAAAATCATCCACAAACAATGACCTATCAATTGAGTCATTGAATACTTTTGATAGTCTATTGATTTGTATGAAGATATATGTGAAGATAAGCATCTTGCAAAGATATATAATTTCAGTCATTAATATTGTCAGTGTGTACCTATGCTGTCATGTTCATACCATGTGCTTTTTATAATACTGCGCCACATCAGCAATGCACATGCAGCTTTTCAGGATGTACAGCTTCACACAGGCTGCTACTAGTGTGTGGGCAGATCTATATGTGTCAGTCTTGGTATACAATAAATGTAGTGATGCATATATATATTGTATGTTGGGTAGCCAGACTTTGGATGACAGCTGGCAGGGCAGAATGGGGTTCATTGTGCACTGATTAAACCTGTTATATGACTGTCAGAGTTAATTACTCTTCATTCGCCCATGTTCTGGTATATGCGTGGTACAGCTGGAGGCTGTGGTACAGCTGGAGGCTGTGGTACAGCTGGAGGCTGTCAACAACAGAGAAGCCACATGTGATCACACTATTCTTGACTGCCACTAATGTGTTTTGTTTGCACTCAGCAATATGTCTAGACAACATGAGCATCAATCCACGCATCAACCATAGTTGCTGAAAATAAATGAATGAAACTCTTCTGGCTCATTTCCATAGACAACTAACTAACATTACTCGTTACAATATTTTTAATCCATGGGTGAAAATGACATGATCACAAATGTAAATCCAATCACATATTTGTCAGCACCAGTGTCAACAAACACTTGTCATTCAGTATACAACCATCATTCACAATCTCGTGTCATGTTGAAACATACATTTCTGGCCATTAACAGTTAGATGAAAGTTGTGCTCCAATCACAAACCTTGGGTTTCTTTCATACAACAGATTTACATTACCTTTCCAACTTTGTAATCGAATACAACCAATTCTTTTTATAGAAACAAATTCCTAACCATTCTGTATATATATATATATTTACATACACTTCATATCACAGCTACCTAGGTGGGAGATGCACTATTGTCTCTGGTGCTTCGAACACAACATTGACACTCAGCATTAGAAGCGGATGAGATTGCCCAGAGCAACATCTTGTTTTCTAGGTCCAATAAAAAAATATTTACTTTATAAAACCTTGCCGACATCGTAAACATGGATTTCAACGTGCAGATTTCAGTCGAAAACTATCCTTTGCAAATGATGCAGTCAAGGTGCTAACATGACTTGATGCACTTTGCGAGGTAAGACCTGTTTCTTTACAATATTGATCATCGATCTTGACTGGGTGCCACATTTTGTTGAGTCCCGGTAATGATAGGTCAATAGGTGGGACCACCTAGTTCGGCAAGGGTGGAAACTGGACTTTTATAGTCAGTTAACTCCCTTGCCTCGGGAAGATGGCATAAATGTTGCTGTGGACCTCTCCGTGCTTCCTGTGCTGGAGGAGATGTCTGAATTATGTACATATTTACAGATCACAAACACACACTATGGGATTCATGCATAGATTAACATCCAGGAATAGTATATAATAAATAGAATCTTAAATGAGGAGGTAAGATAATGAATAAAACGTGCATTTCCACAACACCCCTTTGTGAACTATATAACATCAGCTGAGGAAGTTCCAAGCAGGGTAAGATTGTTCATGAAACAGGGATTCCAAAAGGCCATGAACAGCTGGTGGTGTTGGATGGACTTAAACAAGCTGAATTATAAAAATACAATAATCAGGACACATGTCTGCAGGATAGAGCTGAGAGAATAATGTGGCTGTTCTTTAAAATACATAGATCAAGTGCAATGTTACAGTTGCCTCTGGGGGCACGGGTGGCCCAGTCTAGATTCGCTGTGCAGAGTTGATTATGTTTCAAGGTTTGTCAGGACCATGCCCATGGGTTTCACTGAAGTGGTAAACGTCTGCATCACCTCTCACATACCGTGATATAACTGGAATACTGTTCACAGCGGCATTTAACCAACTCACTAGTTGCCTCTGCAGCAGGCATTTCACTTCATATGATCATCAACTGTCTTACACTGAGGGAACATCAAACAAACCTTAAAAATAAGGAATAAATATTGTAATAATTGTCTTGTCAAACAATATTAAAGTACAAGGGCATAGAAATCTTGTCAATAGGTTAAAAATGTTCATTTCACAATCTGAAACATACCATGTCATTTCCAGTGTAAGTAAGTGGAATCTGCAGACATGGCATTCTGTTCTTTCAAACATAAAATAGACAAAACCCTTTCCATGATCACAAGACTCTGGTGTGATTCCGACTATATCATGACAGGGTGAAAAGATGGCACTCATCACAAAGGAAAAACCATTTGTGTCACTGAGAAGTCAAATGTCCCCCATATGTGCACTTCGACCATCACCTGGAAGCCCTGGTTAACTCCGAATATCAAGATTCATACACGAAATCACTAGGCTGACCTTACAGCTGTTGTAAAAACTTAGTCGACTTGGAAAGAGTTTTCCTGATTTTAGAAATGGGTTTTGTGTGTATTCAGACAGTCATGACAAGATTATTGCTTCCTGAAACATGGGATTTATACAGCCACTCAGGAATCCAAGTGCAACCTGTCCAAGGTGGATACATATTATCAAGATCACGTGAAGCAATCAGATCTCATCATTCTGACATGGAGGTATGATAAAGTATGTCATAGTGAGTTTTGTTACTGATACTTTGAACAGTATATCAGGGTATGCCAGCTTAAAGTACACACAAAGCTAACAAAACAAACATCACATTGTTTTGAATAACAGTGCCTTCAGTAAAAATCTTAGACACATTCATTGACTTTGTTAGTAACTGCCATTAGAAACCTGCCATGGTCGCTCCAGACACATTTCATTTAAAGTCATTTCAGGTATAAACATTTGAGTATGTTAAAGAGAAATGAAATATGTGCAAATTCAAAATTAATTTGAATAATCAAACAAAATGGATAGATCTACATCATAGGAATGTCAACAAACCAATGTCTGAACAACTCAATATGGACAATGTATTCAAACCGGCCATTTGAGGTTGACGACGCCTTGAACAAGGCATATCAAATGAGAAATTAATTTATCTCGGTCCAACATTCGATCATACTGGCTCCGATAGATTGCCTTTTATGGTGAGAATCATGAGATCATGGTAAATCAAACTAAAGACATTACGAAAACAAAAGTTATTTTTATATGCAGTTATTATGAATCATTTGTCAGATTTGGATATCATGAGTAAAGAAGTGAAACACTTTTTTCGGTGTCAGCTATCCATTCACAACTAGAGGTTTCAATACCTTTCCTTATATCAAATAGAAAACTTCAGAAATGGCATCTAAAAACAAGTTGATAATTTCATTAAAAGTGTAAGCTATGAGGTATAAAAATAAATCAAGAATTAGTATATTATTTTTGGTAAAAATGACATTTAGAATGTCAAGTAAAATTGAAAAAACATTGCACCTGCAACTATTAGCATGTAGTTCCTGAGTTCTGGAATTAAGATCATCTGAACACTTGGAAGATATTAGTAAGGCATATTGTCAGTTATTCATTCTTTAAACAATAATTCACTTAAAATAAGAGATTCCCAACCAAACCATCATATATAAACATGTCTTCCCATTTACTTGGAATATTTTAGATTGAACATTATAAAATAAAACAGATTTAAAGAAAAGGGCAGCATTTCTTTTTTTTAGATTTCTCTTCATCTCTTATTACAAAATAAATAGTCGAAAAAGATTTTAAGTTAAAAAAACAAAACTGCACCTCTCCTATTAGTATAGAAGCTGCTCCTTAAATTTGAAAAGAATCTATTCAGTAGTCCTAGTGTTTGCACATAAAAATGTCTTCAGAAGATCCTTTGTTTAGGTCATAGAGGTATAAAAATCAAACCATTCCTTGCTTCACCAAAGCATTTGAATCTCAGAAAAATTATCCAATTTTAAGAATCAGATTTAGGTCCCTCTAACCAAACAAACCCTAAATAACAAATGTCGCCCAAAACGATACCTGCACGTCACATAGCACACGATTCAGACAGTCAAGCACTAAAGGAACAAAACAAGTGTAAAAAGCTAAACCACAGTGGGGCCCCATGTTCTACAATAGTAAGACACACAGGAATCGGACAGTTAAAATAATAGCACTAACATACACTAAATTCACAACAATCAGTTCATTTTCACTTGGAGATCATAACGAGCAATACGTAACCGCTGGAGACCTGCTAGAGGTGCTTTCTCCCTATCCCCCTGTCTGGGCACAAGTGAGGGGGTGGGTCAGAGGAAATCAGGACGGTCACCAAAAACAAGCATTAGGGGGGAGAGTCATCATTTTCAGTGCATCAAAAACATCTTAATTGTGGACACTGTAAATTAGATATTTCCACGTACGCTCAAAGAGACAACATACCCAATCTGATATGTTGGGCGATATACTATTCCATATTCTGGAAAGTTCATTGGGTAATTCTGAAGACCACAGAGACTGTCTTGGACTAGTGCCCCCATTTAGGTTTTTCTTACTTCAGCGAGAACTATTGACTTGAATCTCAAAGTGAAAATGACGACAACCAAGGCCATTCAAACAGTGGCAGTCAGAAACAATGGATCTGCAGTAAACAAACAAACATACACACACTGCCATGCCTTCAATATGGGGTTCTACAACACAGGAACAGCCCTAGAGGCTCATGTAAAATTGTTACAACTGATTCAAACTCATTCCGTTCTTGAGGAACAACTTTGTGTGATGTGAAGACAGATGAGGGAGATGGTATACGAGACATTCCTGGTTAACTTTCCAAGTGGTACTGCTGAAAAATTCTCTAGATACAAGATGACTACTTTCATTTCAATTATATTATTTTCAGAACAAACACCTCACTGTCCAATGGTAGATGTAATCTGTGCACTTGATGAACACAGTTAATGGTGAGGTCCTCATCAACAAGAAGCGCCTAAGTGTGCCAGCATCATTGAAAATAAATAAATAAATTGTCTTGAGTATAACAAGTCATGTTGGTGTCTGGAAAATGGGAACGACTTCCCACATGGTTTGAAGACGGTACATACAAATATTGGCACACTGTAGGCGACACCATTACTTCCCATTATCTCGAGAAAAATTTCACGGAAACCTGAGAATTGTCTTCCATGAACAAGTGGAGACAGGATCTTGGCAAAGAAACTACCCTAAAGGATGTCTGCTGCTGCTGCTGCGACTAATGATTGTTGTGTATGGGGGGCGGGGGGGTCTTCTAACAACGTAACGTAAGACAATGTACCACCCTTCTGAAGTTACGAACCTATAATGAAGCAGAGAATTAAATCTCGTTTCATGACATGTCGCTGCATTATAAGAATTTAGTGCAATTTGTAAAAGGGCACATTTTTAATGATTTGCAACAAATATAGCACTCTAACATACAGATTCATTATTTTTACCACGTTGATAATTAAATGCGTTTAATCATATTTAGCATATATTTCATGCGAAACAGTTAACACGATTTCCTTCAATGTGCAGTTAACAAATATGCCTCATGTCACAAAATAAACACTAACTCCCTTCTCTCTTCATTTAAACAGTTAGGTATTTCTTAAACCTTTATTTTCTCCATATTAGAAAAAGTTAAAAACCGCTAATACAGCCTAGCAGACATCCTTGACCTGTTGGAAAAGTTACAACACATACCCAGTTCCGCATTCATAATTTCAAAAACATTCTTCAAATCACTCCATTCTTGTACTGCCATTATCATTCATTGTCAGGGTTCATTTTGTGATGATTTTTCTCCATGTTGGTCAAGCTTTAATAGTAATAAGTTTGTCAACTTGAACGTTTCTTGTTCTGTTTCGGATGTGCATGACCATTCCCTGGATGCTTTTCGGTACCGTCTCTGGTTTTACTTGGACTTTTGATGCTAGGACTCTTTTCTCTTGGACTTGCTGTAAACACAACTGGTTCTGGAGACAAGTTTAAAGATGGACTTGATGGTGACCGGGGACTTGTCACTTCCAGGAATTTGAAGGAATTCAAACTTGATGTGGGAGTTGTCAGGGAGAAGGAGAACGGACTTGCTGATCGTCGTTTTGCTGCGTAGCTATAAATAGTGCTGGAGGAAATGTTTTCGGATGATCTTGATTTTTTGGCTGCCATTGGGGAACTGAACTGCCTTTGCCCGGAGAAAAGGGGGCTAACTCTGCCTGAGCTATGGTTTGCTGAGTGGTCAAAACTGGACGAGGGACTGGACTGTGATAATGCCATCAGTGTGGGAGATCGGATCTCCAGTTTGGGCATCTTGGGTTGCGAGGCAAGTGGGTCGGCTTCGAGGCTCTCCTCTGCTAGACGTGAGGCTTGGTCAACACATGATTCTGACAGACTTCGGCGCTTGCTGTTGCTCAGGCCAGTCTCAAACGATTCCTCAACATTTCTGTAAAAGAGTTTTATATATTCAGATTAATAGAAACATTTTTTTAGCACAAATGTGTCATTGTCTATTTAATGCTGCAATCAGCAATATTTCATCTGTATCATGATGTACATTAGAGATTTGAGGAAGAAGAGTATTTTAAGTTAATGCTATCCCCCAAATACCAAAATATGAAAGTCAGCAGTGGATCACTTGATTTGAAGCGGGGAATACAAATGGTTCATGATCTATGCTCTGTAAATTACCCCTCAATTCAAAGGAATTTGTTGTCAAGGAAACTGAAAAGACGTCGGTTTATGGCTGAACTGATATCTAAAAGTTTGGTTTGGAAATATTGAACAGTCTTTGAGTGATGTTCCAGGAAAAAAACATGATGGAAGGCCAGGAACCATCCCTATATCCCACTCCCGTGAAGATCTTAGTTACTTGATAGACCAGTGAAGATCCAGGTTAAAATTGCTCTTCAGCAACCCATGTTTGTTGTAACAGGCGACTAAAGGGTTCGGGTGGTCAGCTTTGCTGACTTGGTTGATGCATGTGTGGATTGATGCTCATGGTGTCAATCACTGGATTGTCTAGTCCAGCCTCGACAGTCTTCTTGACAGACTGCCATCATATAGCTGGAATATTGCTGAGTGTGGCGTATAAAAACAAACATCGTAGCATCGTATACAGGCACATCACTGCAGAGGAATCAGGCCTGGACCAATACCACAAGCATCAATCCATTCCATCGGGCACAGTGACTCGTTTACTTTTCTATCTGGACATGTGCATTTTAGTGAGTCTCAGTACTCACTTGTCATTTGAAGCATAAGTCTTTATTGTTGAACACTGCTCTCGGCTTTTTTAATGACCATAAGTTGTAGCAGTATCACTCCAGTACATGTGGTTTTATGCCATTGTGAAAGAATAAAAACAAATTCTAAGTTGATAGAAAACAGCTGTTCATTTGAGCTGAGGTTATACTGTGACTTTCATTGACTCAAAAAAAAAGCATGTGGCTTTCTGCTTCGAAGCGTCAGTATGTCAGTACATGTCGGACCTGTTTTTGTTCCGGAGCCGGACCCCCGAGCTTGTGATGATCTCTACCCGAGATGCCTTGTCATTGGTAGAGTTGTCTGCCCCTTGCTTCTGATCTTTGCCATTCATCGGACTCCCAAAGGAACGTCTTTTCTCAATCTTGAGAGGGATGTCCAGTTCATTGCTGCCACTGAAACCACTCATGTAATCCTCTTTGTCTGGAAGGAAAGGTACCAATCAGAACACACCTTACACCAGGGATTTATCTTGGAGTCAAAAGAAAGTACGCTTGACCTGCACCATATAATTTTGTTCAAATCTGAAATTCTTAAAATATGGTTTATGAAAAAAAACATATATATACTCTAATCGATATATAAAATACAAATGCTCAAAAGGATTCAACTAAGCTCAAAACACAAATCGTTTTTCCAAACATTATCAAATATTTGCAGTGGAATAATTAAGTGTTCGTAAGTAGGATAGGCTAGGATATATCGATATAATCTAGTAACATTATTATAATTCAAGTAACGAAAATCAAACAATTTTCACTGTTTGAAGACAAAACTCTCGGGTTAGATTTTTCTCTCATAAGTAAAAATGTCCAGGAAAACCCTGTCAAAGTACACAAAGACATTAGTTCTCAGATAAACTTGTGGTACTAATGGGACAGTCTGCCTAAGTTTTATAATGTGAACAATTCGAGATTGGCATTTTGGTCAAAAGGCTCATCTTTAATATGTGTTTGTTTGTTGTTTAACGCAGAACTCAGCAATATTCCAGCTATGTGACGGCGGTCTGTAAATAATCAAATCTGGACCAGACAATCCAGTGATTGACATCATGACCATCGATCCACGCAATTGGGATACAATGACTTGCGTTAACCAAGTCATCGAGCCTGACGAACCGATCCCGTAAGTTGCCTCTTACGACAAGCATAGTCACCTTTTATGGCAAGCATTCCACCCAGAATCTTCACAGGTCTCATCTTTAATGAGTGAGTATGGTTTTACGCCGCTTTTAGGAATTTTCCACCAATATTCCAGCAGGAGACACGGGAAATGGGCTTTACACATTGTACCCATGTTGAGCCTACGCGGTGACGATGAACACTAACCACCAAGCTTCCCCACCGCTCCTCATCTTTAATGATGAGTAACAATCACATTTTTCTCCTAAGCTCGTGACTTTGTTTGAAATATGCCACTCTTCACCCAGAAGCAAATGGGTACCTGGTAGGATGAGATGTGACAACCTTCTGGCGCTTCACAGGCAAATTTTGTTGTATACTCCCCAGGGAGCTGAGAATGAAAAGCGAGTGCACACTGATCTACTGACCAGGGTAATAATAATGTAGCGCTTTGAGCTTTAGGTGTGGATTTAGTGCTTATAAATTGCACATTTATTATTATTAATATAGGATTCAGCTTCTAACCTTTTCCTGTCAGGGGGCATCCAAGGACGATTGACCTCTGGACAAGGACGTAGAGAGCTGTGTTGGCTACTTTCTGCTGACCATCGGAGGCTGTCTCACTGCCTGTACCTCGCTTGACGGCATCGCGGACCTGGGGCGCGATCAACTCATTCCACATGCCCTTGACCCACCTGCAACATGGGACAGTCGTGACTGGGGACACGTAGCATCATGGACATGGACATAATAATCAACTTTAGATGTGAGTGAGTTGGGTTTAACGCAGCTTTGAACAGTATTCCAGTTATATCATGGCATGTCAGCTTGATTTGGGAGGAAAGCCTGAAGTGATTGAGATCTACAACATTTTTGTGAAACCCATGAGCACGGGTATGGTGCTGACAAACCTATGAACATAATCAAGCGAATCTGCCAACCATCATTCATGTTTTTTGTGCACAGCAAAATGCAGCCCCTTAGACAACTGGGCCACTCAAGACCCTTGTAAGTCAGTGTTAAAGAATGGTAGTTACGATCGACTTAGGGCCCCTGTTCCACAAAGTAATCTCAGCACTGAGTGTTGTAATAATTTGAATTCTACCTCATCAGAATCCACAGAAGGAACAGTTGACAGAAACAACTCACTGCAATACAGCCTCCTGGCTCAGCTGCTCCAATGGACACTGGAAGAACAGACAGGGACCAAAGGCAAGATCCGGAAGTCCCAGTTTCGTGAGGCTGTCGTTGAGTCTCTGCCACAGGCAGATCACCCACTCAGCACAGCGGAAGACGGGCTTGTCGGGCGACGGCAACCGCCCCCCGTACAGATGGAGAAGGCGGCGGTGAATGTAGCGGGCAAGATGGTTGCGGAATGGCTCGGAGTCAAGGCGAAAGTGAATCCAGCGGAATCGTTGCTGAATACATAGGTCAAGGCCAGTTGATCTGAGGACGAAAGGACATAAGGAGTCATCAACACAGCTTTTGAAAATCATACTAGTCTTAGTAAAAGTTCCAATTATCCTCATTGACTGTAATAACCAGTTCCCGATGCTTCAGTTTTGCTACAAATTGGAACGGAATAAGACATAAAAAATAGAATAGTACACATTTTTGTCTTCTTCAATCAGGACTAGCTACAAACTCTGAGAACTAGTGGTTTACACAAGTTCCCATGAATTATTTGTTTTCAAGACTACAACACTGTAGGTATTGCAGCCTTAGAACTAAACTTGGCAGACAATATTTGTTAATGTTGGTCAGTAAAGTTGTTCTACATATCAACAAGCATGAAATACCTATATCCTCTGCCAAAATGACGTGTAAAAGGCAATAGCTATGTTCGCTGGAATTTTTTGTAAATGGCCTAATTGCAAGCACTGAAAACATTATTAACCCTACTGCAAAGAGCAGGCTGGTTCAGGAGCCACTTGAAAATTGTGTCCCCACTCCCACCCCCATTCACCATATACCTTGTACAAGTTCCTTTGTCAAGTGGTATTCATCTCAATTAGGTAATTATCCAAAATAGCATGACAATTTCAGTACTCTGGGTAATATGGGTATAAAGTTTCATGGAAAATATATGATTGTGGAAAGAACACCATCTGGTGTTTTAGTTACCCTCTGTTTATGAAAGCAACTTGTATTTCGGGCAAGGATAACCTGTGCCATGGAACAGCAAAAGTCACCAGTTCAGCATGTGTTTCATAATAAAATATGAAACAGTTTCGGAGTAATGCTCCCTTGTGATTCGCTTGGTTGTTAAATTCAGGTACAACTACCAGTATGTGATAAGTCTGTGTTTTGATGAGATAAATGTAATACCTCGTTCTGTTCATGGTGGCAAGGAGGTAGAAGTTGTCTGGCAAGTAGTAGCTGTCACTGTCATCGTCAATGTCACTGACAGAGCCAGCTGTAGAAAAACAGTGTGACACAATAAGAACAAGAGTCATTAGGAGATGACATATTCCACCGGTCTGGTGCAATTTGGAAATGGAGTTGGCTACTTATACCTCACTTTTGGTTACCTTCAGTTCAGTGAAAAACAAAATGATGCTGCTTAGTAATTTTCAAAATCCCAAATCATAAATAGGCATCAGTTTACCACTAGACTGATCAGTATAGCAAGTGTCATCCAGAAATATTTAACCGTTTTGAATTTGTGTTCCAGGAACGAGCACTACCCTCCAAGTCCAACTCGTCATGAAAATATAAAAAAATACAAAATATGAACATCCCAAATCATCAAAAGACACCAGTTCACCACTCGAAACTTGCTTTTCAGATCAGTCATCTATGAATATTTAACGGTTTGGGAGTTCTGTTCCGGAAATAGCCATCGCCATGTCCCCCCGTTTTTCACACCGTGGGGATAAAAATAAATACCCTAAATCATTTATATGTTCAGCACTAGTCCTTACCAAAACTGCCCAATGAGAAGTCCCCATGAGGGATGGTAGAATGTTTTGTTGACTTTAAAGGTAAATTTCAATCACTGACTTATAATCACTGACTAAAAGTGTGCATGAGGCAACAGTTGTGCAGATCTTCACGCCCCCATACACGCTTTCTTGGTCTAGCTACCTTTAAGCCTAAATGCATATGTCTTCCCTCGGTACTCTATAGGATCAAGGAGTTTCCCGAACAGTTGAGCTATGTTGACTTTCTCCATGTTCTCCAGCAGCAAGATGGGGGACTTCCCCTCAGTGGAATGCTCTATCGGTACAATACAACCTGCAATATATAACACACTTTCAGGAAACATTGCCGGGTGAAATCAGTAGAAACAATTCGGTTTTGTTTGATGTTTAACACCACACTCTGCAGTATAACAGCTATGATGGCTGTCTGTAAATAATTGAGTCTGGACGAGACATGTCATTAATTGACAAATAAGATACAATTACAGTACATGCATCCAGTCAGCGAGCCTGACCACCCAATCCCGTTAGACACCTCTAAGACAAGCATGGGTTGCTGAAGACCTATTCTAAACCTGATCTTCACGGGTCAGCAACAATCCTGAATGTGCATGTTTCTGCTAAACTGTTTCAAAAATTCCCTATAATTCCCATGTAAGTATTTTTGTTCAGATTTGTTTAATGCTATATTTCAATGTTTTTAGATTGAGTGAATGGGGTTTTTTTCCAGTCAGAAATATTCAACTTTTTCAAGGCAGCCTGTGAATGATCAAACATGAGCAAAAATCCACACTGTCCCATACTTTAACATAGCTTTTGAGTGCCACTGAAATACCTGCAGAGGAGCCCACACATTTTTAATTTTATGTTTCGCGGATTTATTCCAGCTTTTCCACACAGGCCGGTTGAAATATTAATAAATGTCAATCATTCATTTATGTGTCATTCTGCTGTGGAGTTAAAACTGCAGGTGACCTTGAAGCACTGACAGTGAATTAGACATGGTATTAATAAATAACATTTTGTATTTTATAAGTGGGTCTATATTACCAGCTGAACACATAATAAAAATAAACATTTTTATGTTTATTTTATTTCTTAGACCAGCAGTAGGCCAGTGAAAGGGAAAATAAAACAGATATATGTCCCAATGGGCCTCAAGAAAATAAGGTGCCAATACGTCAGTATCATTTCCCATGTGAGAATGGTTCATTCAAGGCAGACGTGGTGGACAAGGATGTTCCTGCAAGTCTGTTAAAATACAGTAGTAAGGCTAACAAAATAATACAAGAATTAGTTCTCAGGCAATGACTTTTGAAAAGTATGTAACCAAATAAACAGTTGTGTACCATCAACCTGGGACAAGCATACAAACTCCTATTGCTGCCATGACCATAACACGATATGCATAGCAAAGCAGTGTGAACTGAAGGGGAAGTAAGTGGATCGCACTGTTTTTAAGTACTAGGATTTATTAAATTCTTTTAAAAATGGAAATAAAAAGGAAACATGGGCAGACTTAATGATGATGTGGGCGGTGCCTGAGAACTACCGGTAAGACTACTATTTTTTTAAGCCTTAGATTAGATTAGAGTAGCATTATGACCCTGGGCCCCTTCCATGAATTAACCGGTGTGTTAAACTATCTACTGGAGCTAAGATCACCGTGTGGAACGGGTCCCCAGTTTCTTGAATCCTGCCTTTGTGTTTCACTCACCTGACTGTTTGAGAAATGAGATGAAGTCAAAGTTTGAGAATCCAGATTGGAGAGACAGCGAGAGGATCTGTGGTTCCCGTCCAGCAGCACGTTCACTTGTCTGTGGAGAGAAGAATCAACATGTACATTCAGTAATGAGTGAGTTTTTAACAGTATTCCAGTTATATCACGGCGTGTCAGCTTAATGGGGGAGGAAAGCCCAAAGTGAAATAATTTAAAAACCAAACAAGACAGTCAGGCAGGTACAAGATCCAATTGAATGGCCTGTCCATCTTAAAGTTACCTGCCCACATTTAGACATAATGAACATTGAAAAATAGCTAAGAAATAAGAGAGAATCATGTCTTGATTCAATTAGTTCAAATAATGCAAATAATTCCTTGAGAATCTACAAGGAGTTATAATAAAACTGAACACCTGAGCTATGAACACACAATGCCATTTAGAAAGTGGTCAGATCAAACAAATGTTATGTTTGGGATAACACTTTACTGAGAAAGTACAGATTCTCATACTTTCTTAGGTTGAGCGACATCCGGGATTCGAACCCACACTGCCAGAGTGAGGCACCTAATTGCCAGCACACAAAGTCGGCGATCTAAACCACTCAGCCACCGAGACTTCCACAAAATTGAAAGTCCGACAACTGGAAGTCTAGATCACGTTCCAAATTGGAACTGAAAATATCCCAACTTATGTTATAGTGAGTTGGGTTTAACGCTGCTTTTAACAGTATTCCAGTTATATTGCTGTGTGTCAGCTTAATGTGGGAGGAAAGCCCGAAGTGATGCAGGTCTCAGACGTTTACCACTTCGGTGAAACCCACGAGCACGGGTATGGTGCTGACAAACCTAGAAAAATAATCGGGGCAAACCAGGATTCGAACCCACAACCATAGGTTTCTGGCATGCCCAAGGGACGCAACTCTGCACAGCCAATCGTGGCGCCTCAGACGACTGGGCCACCCGTAAATTAATTTGTTAAGTGAATCTCAAATTTGAAAAAAACTTTTTCTTTTTTTCCCCCTTCAAGATACCTACCAAGGGCACATAGATTGGAACCCTGGCTTACAAAGGCTGTCAGTTTGGGTTAGCTTACCGCTATGCACTGCGCCAGTCTCTCTGTGAGGTAGGATTTGCCACTGCCTGCTGGGCCATAGAACACCACACTCTTGTATTGTTCCAGCTGAAACAGGGGAGATTACTGACATTGACACACTAGCAATCAATAATGAGTGGTGTTACAACAGTTTGTTGTTTAATGGTACACTCAGCTGTGGGACAGCGACCTGTACCAGGTAATCTATGCCGTCAGGGTACATACAAGGACATGTACCAAAGCACCGAGCCTGACCACCTGATCAATTTGGTCACCTGTTTCGACCAGCAAAGGTAGCTACAGACCTATTCTGACCCGGACTCGTCACCGGGATATACCATATACCAGCTATATGACAGCGGTCTGTAAATAATCGAGTCTGGACCAGACAATCCAGTGATTGACATCAAGAGCATCAATCCACACAATTGGGAAACTATGACATGCATCAACCAAGTCCATGACCCTGGCCACCCGATCCCGTTAGTCGCCTCTTACGACAAGGATAGTCGGATATAGAGAGAGAGAGAGAAGGGTACATATATCTATTTGGAAGTTTAGTGTCACCTCTAATATGACATACATACATGTATGTTTGTGTTCTTTTTCAAAAATGCTCTAAACAATTTCATATTATTCATTGAGCATGGTTTTACGGCACTTTTAGCAATATTCCAACAATATCATGGCTGGGGAGACAAAAAATAGGCTTCACACATTGCACCCATGTGGGTGTGACGAGCAAATGCTTTAACTACTAGGCTACCCCACTGCCCCCCATCCTCCTCAGCGTAGTCTCTCTCAACTTGTTCCTCCCCATCTAATCCCAAATAGTAGTGATAACCAAATTGAAGTGTCTGACAAAGTTTAACAAAGTTTAATTATGGAATCAAGTCCAATAATTATTGTGAACAAAACACTTCCAGCGTGGCCTTTCATGTGTGACCTACATGTTCACAGATATCCAATCAAAATGAATAAAATTGGGTCAACTAATCGACATGTACATATGCATGCACATCGCTGAGGAAAACCCCGTAAAAACCAAAACCAAAATCCCAACAAACTTACCAGTCGGAGATAGTTCCTGATGGTGCTGAGAGGGTACAGGGTGTCAAACGCCACTGATACAGAGGTGTCCTCACTACCTGTCAAACCAAACACACACACATTACCACCAATAAGGCTAAGAAAATAATGGTCTTGATTCTCAGGTGCTGCCCGCATCATCATAAAGTCTGTCGCACGTTTCTTTTTAAATTCCCTTTTTTTTCCAAATTAAAACATCCTTATAATAAAAACAATGGCGGCAATAGGAGTTTGTATGCCTGTCTATGTAGGGAGGCCCTTTCCCAGGTAGATGGTACAAAACTGTTTATCTGGTTTGATGAAGCAAAGAAAAAATTAAATTGCTCATCTCCTCCTTTCAGAGGAGAAAACTTGTTTAGAAGCAGGGGCTGAAAAAATATCTTGTCCTTATAACAAAAGTCCCACAACCCAAAATACTACCCACCCCCTGAATATTAAATTCTGGGTCCCTTCATTAAGCATGTCAGTTGGATTATTCAGAGTACTTAGACTATTCTAAGTATAGAGATTTACCGTATTTGACAATATATTGGCAAGTGAACAATCCCAATTAGCTCCCCTTCTGATTGATCAATGTACACTGTAAGATTTATTTATTCACGTATAATACGCACTCGTGTGTTATATGCACCCTTAATTATTGGCAACTTAATTCTTGAAAAGTATATTTGTCGTACATTTCAGGCTGTCAGCAGAAACCACGAAATTTATCTTTCAACTGTTTTTTTCACCAAAATGATATTCTAATAAGAGCCCCCTATTTCTAATTTTGAGAGCGCCCTGGGCGCTTATTACGTCAAATACAGTTAATCTGATTTAATCTCACGATCAAAATGAAAACAAGAATGATGGCATTATATTGTGTTTGGCAAATTTGCAACCTTCGCTAATTTATGCATTGACTGACTGTTTATCGGCTGATTCTGGGATTCGAACCAATGTTTGATTTATCCTAACATACCTCAGGGAAGCAGCCATTACTGACCCATTTAAAATTAAATAACACAAGAGAAACAACTATCCAAAATAATCTCTACAGATGTTGACAGGTGCCCAAATTTGGTGTATATTAACAGACAGCCATCCAGTGGTGGGAACCTGAGTACTTACTGCTGAGTGTAATACTGAGAGTGTTGGAAGTGTTGTTGCACACAATCTCAAACGGCAGCTTGTCACAGGGGCTGCCCGGACTCCACTCATAGTAACCTGAAACATTATGTACCGGTACTTCATGACAGTCTGTAACCATGGTAGCAGAATTGTTTTTTTACATTTCCACACCATAAAATGGAACATTAATTAGTCGAGGTGAAGTGAGGTGAAATGGGGTTTAACATCGTGTTCAAGATTGTTGCACTTATATAGCGATGTGCATGTGTGTGTGTGTGTGTGTGTGTGTGTGTGTGTGTGTGTGTGTGTTTGTGTGTGTGTGTGTGGGGTTGGGGGGGTTGGGGGCTGCTTGTACTCATCCGGTCAAATGCAGACTGTATAGTGCTAGCCCAGTGTAACATGAATACCCCACAAAGACACAGTATAATGACTCCAAGCCAACCAGTCCTTGTTTGACCGAGCACCAGACAGGGTACCAAAAAGCACCATCTTTTAACGTCTTTGTCTTTTGGTATGACTCAGCTGGGGATCGAACCCCCAACCTTCCACTCTCTGGCAGACGCTCTATCCACTAGACCACAGGGGCAGTCCAAGGTACAAGGAAAAGTACTACAAAGAGTAGTTCTAAAGTCGATAGTCTTAGAGCTAATTCTTAACATGCATTGATGATGGTGAGGTGGGATTAAAACCATTCTGAACAGTATTTCAGTTGAATCATGACTTGCCAACCTCACTCCAAGTGAAGGTTGTAGACATTTGAGTCTGGTACTGAGAAATCAAAATAATTTATCGGGGATAATTCTAACCTATTTCAAAACACATCCTGACACAGCAGAGGGATGCAACTTGAACAGTAAGATTTGACACTTAGACCCTATTATCTGTTAGTGTTTCAGTGCACATCCACACACAACACCAGCGACTCCTTGGATACTTACTGATTTTGAAATGTTTAATACTGGATGTGCTGAGTCCCAGCGTGTAGCCCGAGTTGTCTGTGGGGGACTCGGGCTCCAGACGGTTAATCTTGCGAGTGCGCAGCCCCGTGTCGAGCGTGGTATAGTAAGACTCCAGCAGACTACAACACTTCTCCTCCAGCGTGCACCAGTTGAGGAATGGCGTCACCTCCACTGTCCCGATCATGTAGTGATGATGGCTGTCAGGATCACTCTCTGATGGAGCCATCTTGGGGACATGGAGCTCAACAATTACTGAGATTATGTGGTTGTTGTTGGAACCTGGGATGACAAAGAAATGGGGCGAGTGAGCGAGTATGGTTTTATGCCACTTTTTGCAATAATCCAGAAGTATCACAGCGGGGGACACCTGAAATGGGCTGACACATTGTACCCATGTGGGGAATTGAACCCGGGCCTTCGGCGTGATGAGCGAACGCTTTAACCGCTAGGCAGCCCCACAGCAACGTAAAAGAAATGGTGGACAGTAAGTAGCTGTTGTTCTTTTATTATTAGAATGAAAAAAAATAATAGTCTTGTTTCTCAGGCACTGCCTGTATCACCATAAAGTCTGCAGCACGTTTCCTTTTTATTTACATTTTGAAAATTGAAAAAAAAAAATCCTTATACCTAAAAACAAAGCGATCCAATATAGAACACAGTTACTTCCCTTTACATGGCTCGTGTTAAGTTCATGGTAGCAATAGGAGTTTGTAAGCTTGTTTATTTCGGGATGCTTGTTTGTTATTTTGTTTATGTTAATGGTACACAAATGTTCATTTGGTAACATACTAGCTTGAACAAGCAAAAAAAACCAACAAAACAACGTCCCACACGCACTATATCTTCAAAAGTCATTACCTGAGAACCAATTCTTTTTTAAGCCTTGTTATAGTATACATGTATAAACCACAGATATCCAGGTACAAGTATCTGCTCAAATGCGGTTATTTGTTCCCTGACCAGTGGATTTGTTTGCATTCCAGTTATCATTCTCAACACCCTGGGGAGTTTCCCTTCATTTCTTCAGAATAATAGATGGAGAAAACTGCAAAATATTCACAGACTTCAGTCATGAATTCTGTATCTTGAAAACAAATTGCTGCGAAGATCTCTTTTCACAGTGCATACTAATCATGTTGACTTATATTAAGGAACCATAACCAAATCACTTGACATGTCTCCAGCACATATGTACCATTATGCTAATGTTTACTAACAACCACAAAATGTTTCCCAAACTATTTCCATTCATCTTTTCATATTAAGTGTAGCCTCCTTCCCCACCTTATATTTTCAAAAAAGAGATTATCAAACTGTATCCATGCTTGCTAGTGTAGACTTTGAAGGACACAAGGATGGACTGGACTCAAGCTGAACCAGCATACTGTACCTGTTTGGTTGAGATAATCTTTGCACAGCTTGGAGGCTACACTGAAGGCCGACCTCCCGAGCCGGTCCTTCTTCTCCAGATCCAGGTTAGTATGTTCCATCAGCAGTTGCAGACAGTCCTAGAACACACAGACAGTCATACAAGTTGCAGACAGTCATACAAGTTGCAGACAGTCCTAGAACACACAGACAGTCATACAAGTTGCAGACAGTCCTAGAACACACATAGTATTACTAGTTGCAGACAGTCCTAGAACACACAGACAGTCATACAAGTTGCAGACAGTCCTAGAACACACAGACAGTCATACAAGTTGCAGACAGTCCTAGAACACACAGAGTCATACAAGTTGCAGACAGTCCTAGAACACATAGGCAGTCATACAAGTTGCAGACAGTCCTAGAACACACAGGCAGTCATACAAGTTGCATACAGTCCTAGAACACATAGGCAGTCATACAAGTTGCAGACAGTCCTAGAACACACAGACAGTCATACAAGTTGCAGACAGTCCTAGAACACACAGACAGTCATACAAGTTGCAGACAGTACTATAACACACATAGTATTACTAGTTGCAGACAGTACTATAACACACATAGTATTACTAGTTGCAGACAGTCCTAGAACACACAGACAGTCATACAAGTTGCAGACAGTCCTAGAACACACAGACAGTCATACAAGTTGCAGACAGTCCTAGAACACACAGAGTCATACAAGTTGCAGACAGTCCTAGAACACACAGTCATACAAGTTGCAGACAGTCCTAGAACACACAGGCAGTCATACAAGTTGCATACAGTCCTAGAACACACAGGCAGTCATACAAGTTGCAGACAGTCCTAGAACACACAGACAGTCATACAAGTTGCAGACAGTACTATAACACACATAGTATTACTAGTTGCAGACAGTCCTAGAACACACATAGGATTACAAGTTGCAGACAGTTCTAGAACACACAGAGAGTCATACAAGTTGCAGACAGTACTAGAACACACATAGTATTACTAGTTGCAGACAGTCCTAGAACACACAGGCAGTCATACATGTTGCAGACAGACCTAGAACACACAGACAGTCATACAAGTGGAAGACAGTTCTAGAACACACAGACAGTCCTAGAACACACATACAGTCATACAAGTTGCAGACAGTCCTAGAACACACATAGAGTACCAGAAGTTTCGGGATTCCCAAATTACGGCTACAGAGTTAATTCCCTTGACAGATATGGTATTTCGCCATATTAAACAACCCACTCCAACCCCTGAATATACATGATACATACAATACAAAACATTCCGCTACACATTGGTGTGGACAAGCATGTGACTGACCTCTTTCTCCAGGCAGGCCGCCATGTGAGCCAGCGTCCAGCCACCCTTGTCGGCCACGCTGACCACATGCTGGAGAGATTCTGTCTGGTCCTCCGAGTCGGCCATGATGCCCTGACGTTTAATACTGTGTTGCAGGATGAGCCTGAGACAGCCTATATGGCTGCCTATCACAGCAGTGTGTAGTGGGGTCAGTCCGGACTGCCAAACAACCAAACACGTCAACGATAAATATCTGCATTTACAGGGCCAATGAAACCTGTGCAGACCTCAAATTAAGGATAGTGGAGGGTACCTTGTCATAACAGTAGGGTAAAAACTTAACCGACAGTGCACCCCCTTAATCTGAATAGTATTATCATCTATATCAACATCTTCCCAAGGCAAGGGAGTTAACTGACTGTAAAAGTCCAGTTTCCACCTTTGCCGAACTAGGTTGCAATTTCTAGGCTCGACCAATATTATTTGCATTTGCTTCAAACAAAATGGTTGCACCCAGTCAAGACGATCTGATCAATAATCAAGATCTATATTGAAATAAAACGGGTCTTACCCGTTGTTAGGGGCATCAAATCACGTGAGCACCTCTACAAAAACATGAAATATCTTGCCTTGCCCCAGGAAGATGCTATATTAACAAATATCCTGTACCTGTCATCATCGATGCTGTCCTTTGAAACATATATTTACATTCCTAACAGTTCATGTTTGGAATGCAGGATTTCTGAATCAACAGTCCAAAACACAACCTGGTTGACAGCAACGACTTCTTGTAAACTTGGCAGAGGGAATATGGAGAATTACACGCAAGAATAGCACACACTGAGCGTCGCTACATGTATTGTAACATAAATCAAGCCTCTCACGACAAGCAGTCACCTTTCTCGGCAAGCATGGGTATTCCTACCCGGATCTTCACGGGTACATTAGTCAGGTATCACGATATCTATCAATGCATGAGGTACCCATATTGTGATTCTCCCAATGTATCATGTCTCCATTCTATTTGGATACATAACCTGTACCCACCATAGCATTCCCACATCATGATAGAAAGAATATAACCTGGACAGTGCCAATTTACCAGTAATTCCTCAATACTACCGAAGTTTATTCTCTTAAAACTGGAATATATATGAACAGAAAGAATGAACAATAAACCTACTGGTTGTTAAACAGCAGAAAGCTATTGATAAGGCCATAGCATATATTTCTCTGGCGTGAAAAAGTGATGTCAATAAAAAGCAGATTTTAGTGCTCGGCACCACTACACTAAACATCTGAGGTCATCAGGGCACGTCAGAACGACATACTGCAAATTTTGACCAATGAAATGACGAACAGGAAGTTGACATTAGACAATCAGAAAGCAGCTTTCTCAAGCATTACAGCATTAGATCAAAATGGCGACCTCCATTCCAGACAACGCTTTGAAAAATATTTTGACAAAGTTCTCGATTCAAAATTTGAAACTGAAGAAAACTGTAGTTCAGAATGTCCCATGTTAACCTTCATGATTAAAAAACACATTCAGAGATTCATTTTTGTGACCTCACGAGGGACGCTGATTGGTTGGGTGAAAGGTTGTTCTGATATGATCTGATGTTGTCCTCAGACCTTTGTGTAGTGGTAGGGAGCTCTGAGATCTGATTTAAATGAGATCCAAAATCGGTACCAAAATAAATCCTGAAATTGGCTGTTATTTTTCACTGAGAATGTCAAACATCTTTCAGTCCAACTTCAACCAGTATTTGTGATTGCCCTCCTCCACTGCGTACCCACCATGTTTGTGACCAATGGCCGGGCTCCATGTTCCAGCAGCAGACGGCAACATTCATCATGCCCCCTGGTGGCAGCGAGGTGAAGTGGTGTCTCATTGGTCTGATTGCCAATGTTCACCACTGCAGCTTTGTTCAGAAGAAGTTTTAGGCAGCTGAAAAAAACATCATAATCATCATCATCATCATCATCACCACCACCACCACCACCACCACCACCACCACCACCACCACCACCACCACCACCACCACCACCACCATCAAGGTTCTTGGTTTACTGATTTATTTGTGCAAAATCCTGGTCAGTAGACATGGTAGGTGGGAAGAAAATAAAACAAAAGGATATTTCAGATTATTCTGAACATTTGGTTGGTTGTTTGGTTTGTTGTTTTACGCCGCACTCAGCAATATTCCAGATATAGGACGACATGCATCAACCAAGTCAGCGAGCCTGACCACCCAATCCCGTCAGTCACCTTTTACAACAAGCATAGTCGCCTTTTACTGCAAGCATGCTGAACATTTGGACATATTGCCGAAGAGTTCAGCATTAGGTAAGCCTATCTCATTCATTAACATAGACTAACATTTAGTTCAAGAAATACAGTTTTTAAATCACAACACAATCTACAACATACAAATTAAAATCCAAATTGAGCCCAGAACAATGCTTAAGAGCTGAGGCAATCTAGACTTGCGAAATCATTCTAGACTTGAGATGGATTCATTTCTAAGTTAATTCTCTGGAGTCAGGGAGGTGAGGTGAGGTGAGGTGAAGTGGGGTTTGACGTTGCTTCAAAGATTATTGCACTTATATAGCGACGTGCATACATTGTACTAGTCCGGACTAATGCAGATTTTATCGTACTGCGATACCGTGCTGCAGTTTAACATGAATACCCCACTCAGACACAGAATACAGTCCTCGTTTTAGCCCCATTAATGCCGAGCACAAGGCAGGGTACCAGAAAGTACCATCTTTTAAAGTCTTTTGGTATGACACGGCCGGGGATCAAAACCCAGACCTTCCGCAATCCAGGTGGACACTCTACCACTCTACCACGGAGGCAGTGAGGGTCTGGGAGACAGACAATGCCTACAGCATAATCTTATTGTACACCTAAGTTTGATCTTTCCACATTTGTTGTGAGTCAGGGGAATCCAGACGATCCTGTCTGCGTGATCTCCACTCACCTTGTATGACCGTTTGCAGCAGCTAGGTGTACAGGACTCAGGAGGTCGTCCCGGAGAGCGTTTGGGTTACCTCCCTTGTCCAACAGAAACTGTAAACAGTCTGCAACAATAGTTTCTTATATTGAAACTGACTGATAAGCACTCATTGATCGGGTAACACATCGGCAATACTTCACAGGTTTACATACACTACATTCTTCCATCACCCTGGATTACATGAGACCGCTTTGTGGTGTAGAAGTGACAGTGTCTTTTTATAGTACGTTTATGAAATCGTAACTCATGGACGTCAAATGTTTGTTTGTCTGTAAATAATCGAGTCTTGACCAAACAATCCAGTGATTGTCATCATGCGCTTCAATCTACACAATTGGGATATGATGACATGCATCAACCAAGTCAGTGAGCCTGACCAACAGATCACTCAAGTCGACAAGCATAGTCGCCTCTTACGGCAATCCTGGGTTGCTAAAGACCTATTGTCTACCCGGATCTTCATGGGTCCCTCGTCAAATGAGCCCTCCTGTATGAACATTGTGCAAACCCTCTTTTAAGATTCAGATGCTGCCTTTCACTGTTTTGCACAATAATATAACTAACTTAATAGGTCTCATATTAGATCTGTATAATAACTAGAGTCATCAGAAGATGACAACTCCCCCCAGCCCCACAATAGCAAAAGGCACCGATTCAGGCCCTGGTTAATACATGTACCAAGTTTGGATGCAAAATCTTTCACGGTTTTCAATTCATGCTCCGTAAATGAAATACGGATGGACTGACGGACAGACAAACCAGACGATGACTATATAGCCCTGCATTATATACCGGGTGGATAAAAAAGGAATGTGTCATGGTAACAAAAACGGATGACTTACGTTCATGTCCCCCTTCGGCAGTGCAGTGAATAGGGGTAGTTCCGTCCTTCATCGGTAAATTCACATCAGCATCTCGTTCTACTATAAGCGTTTTGAGAAGGTCAAGGTCACCACATGCAGCATGTTTGTGTACAGGAGAGTTTTTAACGATGTCGACAGTACAGGTGGAGGATGGGGAGGGGGCAGATACTGGCAACGTTAGACTAAATGAATCACTCGGACTTGCTTCACCTGCAGACAGAAACATTACAGATCATGAGACATCCTGGCAAAACATTCTACAGACAACGTTAGTGATTTATTGACTTGATTACCGCCATGAATATATACAGTTATGTCATTGCATGTAGATGTAGGAGGAAAGCCCGAAGTGATTCAGGCCCAAGACGTTTACCACTTTGGTGAAACCTATGAACACAAGCATTGTGCTGACAAACCTAGAAACCTAAGGAAAATCTGGGATATGCATCCAATCATAGATTTTTGGTATGCCCAAGGGACACAACTCTGAGTGAGTATGATTTTACACTGCTTTTAGCACTATTCCAGCAATATCACGGCAGGGACACCAGCAATGGGCTTCACAAATTGTACCCATGTGGGTATGAGCATCCACTTCTTTGGCATGACAAGCGAACGCTTTAACCATTAGGCTACCCCACAGCCCCAACTCTGCATGACAAATTGTGGTGCCTTTGATATGATCGGTACTTAGATGATGACAATACTGGAGAGGTGCTTCAAAATATCAAACCCTGGTGGGATTCCAGGAATGAGTCTCTAGTGCACGATGTTTGTCGTGGGAACTGACTAATGAGGACAGCAGCCATTGTGACCATCTGATTCCCATTTGGTCAGCTACTATTACAGCATGGATACTGGGGATTTATTCTGCTTTGAGTACCACAGGATTCTAGGAAATTAGTGAGTGTGAGTAAGTTGGGTTTAACGCCGCTTTTAACAGTATTCCAGTTATGTCACGGCGTGTCGGCTTAATGTGGGAGGAAAGCCCGAAGTGATACAGGTCTCAGACATTTACCACTTCGGTGAAACCCAAAAGCACGGGTATGGTGCTGACAAATCTTGAAACATAATCGGGGCAAACCGGGATTCAAAACCCACAATCATAGGTTTCTGGCGTGCTCAAGGGACGCAACTCTGCACAGACGGCTTAGACGACTGGGCCACCCGTGCCCCCTCGAGAAAATAAGATTCCACTTACAATTATATGCACAAGATCAAATTTGTCATGTATCACATCATATAATTCATAATTGTATTACTCAAAAGGCCATGAGTTAATAATGTAAGTAAGTGACATGACATTAAAACTTGGTCTCGACTTATTTAGAGATTTGGTTGACACACGCAAGATTCTGACATAAATATCACTGGTGGCTCGGCTATCAGTACATAGCTGTATGTGGCTCTCATATTTAATTGTTAGACCTTGAACAGGATAAAAAATAAGTCATCATGTAAACATAAAAAAATAAACTTGTGTCATTAATTAAAATTACATGTCTTGGACATTATAGCTTGAATGGAAAACAATTGTTTATAAATTTAGAAATATCATTCCATGTTATCAACTTATTCAATATTATACATATAATATCATAATATTCATAAAATCGCCTCAAAGAAATGGAACATCAGATTCATAAGATTCTGTAGCTCACTTGTATCTTTAAATATTTGGATCATTATAGATTAAATTTAAAAATCTTTGAAAGGGTCAAAACACAAAATATACCATAAAATATTATGTTTCCAAAAAAAAGAAGACATACTAACTGAATAAATGATATTTTCAAAATTGCTGCTATGACAGTCATGTTTAAAATTGAATCGTAATATATTACCATTATGCTGACTCGCTATTGTTGTTTCAGTTAATAACAAGCCATGAATTTATTGGCCATTCTGAATGTGCATTTTAACAAGAAAAACTGACGCAGCTATAGGTCATTATGGAAACTATAGCAACAATATATATATCAACTGTAACATGGATGGAGAAATCACTCAAATCAACAGACTTGAGTGATTTCTCCATTACATATAAAGTTCAGCATCCTAGTTCCATCAGTTCGTAGTAAAATTACAGCCAGATGGATGCACAGACAACGCCACAAGCACACATAAACCTTGGGTTCAGGTGAGCTAACATTTATGCCAAAAAACATGAAAAAGAGCATGGAAAAACTCAAACCATGAAAACAATGCAAAACATGTAAAACAGAACTTCGCAAAATTCAAAATGTGTAAACAAACAAAGAAACAAGTAACAAAGAGTTAGCATTCGAACAGCATAGCAAGACTCCCATCTTCTGCCGGGTCCAGCAATATGGACGACAATCCTTAAACATTTACAGAGCTCCAGATAACATTTTGAACAATTTTAATTGGCTTTTAACATAATAGACCAACATATTTTTTCACTCATCTATTCAGAACTCTATTGGGTTTTTCGCCAAAAGAGTGAACATTTTAAGATTTAAAAAAAAAATAATTATGTTTTAGATGTATATAACCATGATAACTGTTCCAAATATACAGGCTTGACTCGGAAAATACCTTAGCTCGTAATTGTGTTTCGGAAATTAGCTCCTTTGTACGCATGCTGAAAAATCTTCATTTGGTATATATGCGTGCTGTTTTTATACATTTGAGTTTTAAATTTAATGGATGCGTTTTATATACGCAAGTTAATTGAAAGTAGTTGGGTTTTGAATAGTTTGGGGGGTATTTTACGCAAATACGCTGCTTATCTGTAGCTCTGATTTATTCATAAAATGCCACAAACTGGCTTAACTGAAAAATATCTTGATGATCCAACTTGTCAACATTTCCCACATTATTCCATCATGTCCATCAACAATGAACACAAGTGAACATTAGTTTGCAAGTATATCTTCCCCTAACTTATTCATTCAAAAATCTTTTTTTTCAAATAATCAAATGAATACTGTAATACTGCTAATAAATGGAACTGAAAATAATATATTCGCTTTATGTTTACATGTTATCAAAATGAATAAATAGGATCTCAAAATAACTGTAATTTCGTTCATTACCAACAAGACAGGGCATATTTATTTGTGAAAAGCAAAACAATTTACTACATCGTTCAAATTAATATTGTAGGCCAAACAATATTCATTACCGGTTTTACTGGTCTGCAGGGAAATAATCATATTTAGTAAGATTTTAGCTCAGTTTACGGTCACATAGACACTGAATGTTAAATGTCTCACAATTGCTCTTCCAAAGACTCTATTGAAGCAAAAGATACTAAATATGAAAGTTTAAAGTTTATAAAACATCCCGGGACCTGTGAGGATTCTGGGTAAGGTAATTTAAGCGGGAATAAACGAATAAATGTCAGTCTCGGTGACTTGGCAGATTGCATGTCATCATGTGAGAAGAAATCCTCATGTCAATCATTGGATTGTCTGATCCAGACTGAATTCAGACCACTGTCACAGCCGGAATATTGGTGAGCGCAGTTTAACAAACAAAACAGTCTGATATCCAAGTTTGTCTTTTTAGAGGAAATATGGTAATGCATCGAGGACTGTGATGAACACTTCCTGCTCACACCTGCACATAAACCTGTCTGGATCTACATGCAGGAGTTGCACTGTATAAACATGTAGTTTAATACCACCTAATATCCATAACCACCGCTCGGTACATCCCATCCTTCTAACACCAGTGAACCCAACGACTCTGGCAGTCCCTGAGGACATGCTTCTCCTGGTTGGAACTTGCCCTGATGTGTCTAGCAGAGACTAAATGGGGAACAAAATCTGGGTAAATGGCCAGGCTATATATTCCTCTGGCTGCTGCTGCCTGATCTTTGCGTGTACTCTGTCTGCATATGTATCAGGATCCCAAATCTTGATGTTTATGGCAACATCCATGGCACAACCATGTACAGGAGTATAATAGGACACACATTTTTGTTTTTGTTGCAAATTATGTTAACAGATTTGTTTACGTCAGTCACATGTTTTTGTTAGTTTCAGATTTATTCTGTTATGGTTACAGATTTTTTATGACATGGTTACCGAATTTTTTTTGTCTCAGTTGCAGATTTTTAATGTAATATGCTTACAGATTTTAATTTTTTTTATGTAATACAGTTACAGGTTTTTTATGTAAAGGCTAAAGATTCTTTTTTTGTTATGGTTAAAGATTTTCTTTTGTACTGTTACAGATTTCTTACGTTATGGGTACAGATATTTACTGACCAATAAGTTAGGGTAGGTCAAAATAAAATTATGATAAAATTATGATAAAATTATAATAAAATTTAAATTTAAATTAAAATCAAGTAGGGAAGTTTTCAAAAGTAAATTAGCTTAAAGCCTTAAGCCACATAAAGTGAATATTTCAGAGATCAAAAGTTTCTAGCCAGTCACAGCTGTGATGAAGGATAACACTGAACTTGAATATACATTGTTTTCTCCTATCTCTGGAGCAATGGTTCCTGTACATTATTCTGCATGGAGGGCTTTGTGTAGGATCACCAGCACTGAATGGCAGACATGATGCTAATGCTCCTACAGTAATGAACACTAATGAGGTCACAGCGACCTGATGCTCCCCGGGTGCTGTAGACACTGCTATCATTTGCTATGGGGGTTACATCCTCACAGTGGTTGTAACCCAACGCTGTCACTGATGCCGCCCCTGACACAGTCGTATTGCACAACCACTAGACAGGGTGATTAACTCACATGTACAGCATTGTGTACCGAAGATTGGGTTTAAGATTTTTAAGTAGTTTTTATCTGGCGGTACATGCTTACCCAGAGCATTGAAATAGAAGCTTTTATATTTTCATTAAGCTGGCATATTAAAGGGTTTTCTTTTCAGATTGAATATAATTTACTTTATTGGTATCAGTTATATTCAACAGACTGAGTTTTATGCCACATTTAGCAGTTTTCCATCCCTATAACAAAGTGTCACATCAACAATGGAATTACACATTGAACCATGTTGTAAACAAATTGGGTCTTTGTGACAAGCCCATGTTTTAACTTAATCATTAGGTTACCCTACCACCATTAACAGAATACAATTTTTGGGTTATCGACTGTATTAACAATTGTATGAATCACACTTAAATACTATGTTTGTGCTTCCATCTTAAATAGGGCCTAGGGTTTTAGATATCTTTCTTAATATTGTTCTTAGAAAATAGATCAATTTTCCAA